ATGACTTTCAGAGGAAAAAGGAATAAACAGAACAGTTGGCTATCCAGGTGGTGTCACAAGAACAGAATTGGATTTGATTTCTGGGCCATGGTTTAAGATCCGGGAACTCATGAGTTGTGGTAAGGAACCAGGGATTCATGAGATAAAAATTTTAAGTCTCTTTTCTATTCCCTTCTTTCCTCCTCTTTTTCCTTTTAGGGTGGACTCCATATAGCTGGTAAGGCATATTACCAGATTATCTTTTTAGGGTGAAAGAGAAGAATCACCGAGAAGGGAACAGGAAGTTGTTCAGAGGGAAAAGAAGGAGGAAGACTGAAATGAAAGAATAACACCATAAATGATATTCAATGTTCCATTAGATAATTATAAGTGAAAATAAGCCAAATGTGTAGCTAACACTCATTGGGAGTTTACTATATGTTAATGCTATAGCAAATTCTTTATGAGTCATGTAAATTCTTTATTCTTTAATACTTAATATTAGTTCTAACCAACAACATGTAGAATATATTTGCCAAATCAGAAAAGATCTGTATTGTCATTGGATGGGGGTAGTGCTAGGCTCTTAACCCAGAACTCTGCAGATGCAAGGCAAGTGCTGTACCCCTAAGCTATATCTCCTACATTGTCTTTTTTTTTTTTTAAGGGTTTTTACTCTATAGCCCAGGCTGACCTGAATTCATTATGTAGCTCAGGCTGGCCTCAAACTCACAGGGGTCTTCCCACCTCAGGCTCCTGAGTGCTACCCTCCCCAGCTAGGTATAGCCCAGGCTGGTCTTGATCTTGTGATCTTCCTGCCTCTGCCTCTTTAGCATATCCTACCAGTGTGAGCCACCATAATCAGCACCTGTCATTTTTATTGGGCATATAGCATACCATTCCACTGTGCGAAGGTTCAGTAAAGAAAGCGACAGTGATTACTTCAGAACAGCCCCTCCCCCATGTTATGCTCTTTTTCTTACTAGATGAAAATTTATTTTAGTTTGTAATTTAATTTTTTGAGCAATATCATGATTCAAAAAAAAGTAGGAAAAAATTTTCTTCCATTCTTGTTCCCTGCCCTACTCTAACCACTAGTAGTTTCTTTTGTATCTTTCCATCCATGATTTCTTTCTTAGGTAAGCAAATATCTTACCTTTTCCTTTAAAAATTTTACATATAATGTAAAAGCATCTTGTGATCAACTGTTTTTAGAGTAAAAATCACAAGTTAAAGCATTTTTAATTTTATTTATTTATTTATTTATTTATTTATTTATTTATTTATTTATTTGCAAAGAAAGAGACTAAGAACCTTTATGGCCTGAAATTACAACCATAATTTGGACACGACTCCAATATTGTTGGGAATCCCAAGGTTGGGAGAGCTCACAATAGTCTATACTTAACATGCCACATCAATGAACCCCAGGTTTCTACTAAAACCTGAGAAATACTAGCTTCACTTTGGAAAGGGTTCTGGTCGTCAAGGATATGAATTAGTCACCTGGGTCAAGACAGCAAAAAATGAAAAGGGGTTCAAAGCATCACTTCATCAGCTTTGTGCAGACAGAGAACCAGAGAGCAGGAAAAAAAACAGGTGAATATTCAGATAATATAAACACAGAATAATATAAACCTTTATTACAGGAGCTAAGATGACTCATTTGCCTTTCCGGGCTCTGATCGTCCTCAGGTAGAACCCCAGCTCCTTGCCCTCTAGCACAGAGACATCTGCTCTACCACACTGCCCTGGTCTTGATGCAACGCAGGCAAGAAGCTTGCCCGGCTGGAACTGCTCCTCCAGAAGACTGCTGATTTTGGCATTCTTTTTTCTTTCATCGTATTTCTTTTGAATTCTTTTGGATCACTTTTTGTTTAAAATCTTTCTTCTCAGGAATCAGCTTGGCCCCCTGCTTGTGACCCAGGGGCTGTGCATAGTGGGACAGCTGTCGGTAGGGAGTGCTGTCAATGAGCAGGATGCAGTTCTTCACCAGGGTCTTGGTTTGGACCAGCTCATTTATTGGATGCGTTGTAGACAACATCAATGATCCTTGTTTTTTTGAGTACAACACTCAGCGCCCCAGGAGAAGTTCCCCACATCCATTCTCAGGGCCTGGTACTTCTTACTGTCTTCTCAAACTGTGTATGTGGCATGGGCCAATCTTAGTGTTGGCAGCAGGCTGTCTGAACTCGTACTTCTGCTTCTTGTGGTAGGGCTTTCTCTTGCCTCCAGTCTTAGGGCGCTTATGCCACTTGTCCCGCGAGATGCCCATGGCTTGGCGCTGTCTGGAAAGAGCAAAAAATAACATTTTTTATTTTTATTTTTAAAAATAACATTTTTATTGATTCTTTGATAACTTCATATAGTGAATTTTTTCTTTTTTAATTGAATTTTTGTGATTTTCATACTATATACATATATTATTTTTTTTCTCTCTTTTTGAGACAGGGTCTCCCTGTAGCCCCAACTGGTCTGGCACTCACTATGTAGATCAGGCTGGCTTCGATCTCACAGAGATCCACCTGTTTCTGCCTCCCAAGTGCTGGGACTAAAGACGAGTGCCACCACTCCCTGCTCATATATTTTTATCGTATTTAGATCCACTCCCCTATCCACCCTCCCTTTACCCCCCCACCCTAATGTACTCTATAATATATGTATATATATTATACATATAATAGTGTCTAATTTGTGTTCCCAAATGTCTTTCAGTGTGGGTCCATCCACTGGAGCCTGGTTAAGCTACCAACTCATGCCCTTGAAAGAAACTGACTTTCCCCCTCCCAATAGCCATTGGTTGTCAATAGTTCCTCAAACAGGGTTGGGGGCTTTTACTTCCTCATGTCTATGCTGGGGTTTTGTCTGGTTTGAGCTTATACAGAACTTGTGCATGTTGTCACCATTACTGTGAGTTTATAGGAGTAACTTTCTGGTTGTCTGGAACACTGTTTCCTTGTGGTTATCCACTACCTCTGACTCTTAACAATCTTTCCACTCCCCTCTTTCACAATGATCTCTGTGCCTTGGGAGGCAGAAGTTTGATACAGGTGTCCTATTCATGGATAAGCATTCTGAGCCACTTATTATCTACGTGTTGGCCAGTTGTAGTTTTCTGTGCTATTTACCATCTGCTGCATAAGGAAGCTTCTCTGCTGAGTTGAGAGATGCATTAATCTATGGATATAACAATAAGTCACTAGGAGTCTGTTTAATACTCTATTTAACAGACAACTAGTGTTAGGATCTCCCCTATCTCCTGTGACCTCTGTGGGCTCAGGTTCCCTTGTCTGATATCAATGTCAGATATGGGCTCCATCCTTTGAAGTGGACCTTAAATCCAATTAGAAAGTGGTTGGTTACTCCCATAATATTTGTGCCACTATTGCACCAATAGGTATAACTTGCCAGGCCAGTTACTGTTGTAGCTTGCAGAATTCACAACTGAGTAAGGTTTATGATTAATTTTCTCGTCGGGTAGCATGAATAGCACCCCCCTATGACTATGAAAGCTAGCCAGTGGAGATGAGGTTTTGAAGTCAGCAGCAGCTTAATTTCTCCTTGTCTGTTAGTGTCTTCAGCAATAAGTCTTTTCCATAGTCTTACCAAGAGCAGGGGCAATGGCCAGTATTGTTTGATGGTATATGGGACCCCTGGTCAACAGCTTCAAAGAGGGTATCCATTTCTGACACTGAGCTTTTACTTCGCTAGCCTATTGTGTCTAGTGGGGGCAATGTTCCATTATTATAAGGTACCTCCTTTCAATCTTTTTATAATATATATGAATATATTTCAAGAAGCTTCTGTACTGGTAGGTTTCCACATGGCTTTTTGTGAAGGCCTTTAGTGTTAGCTGTCCATCTGTGCATTTCCTCCTCTGTTTTGCCCTCTAGTTAAAATCTTAATATATAATGCCCAATTACTTTTCAGAAATGTTATATAATATTTGAACAATGAATGTGTTACTAAACTCATGTTTTCTAATTTCAGTGTATCTTTATATTTGAAACTACATGGTGAGCTCAAACCAAATTTTTTAAAATTACTATAACTTGTAACAGATTCTGGATTTTTTTGTTTGTTGGAGACAGGGTCTCATGGCCTAGGTTGACCTCAAATACACTATATAGTAGAGGATAATACTGAACTTCTATCCTCCTGCCTCCATCTCCCAAGTGCTGGGATTATAGGTGTGTGTGTGTCACTATGCTTGAGCTAGGTTCTCTTATTATATAGAATTGATATTACAAAATACTTTGGACTTATGTACTTAAATTTATAACATAGACAAATGGACAAAATAAAAAGGAAAGGTGTGCCGGGCATGGTAGTGCATGTCTGTAGTCCCAGCACTTGGGGGGGGGGAGGCAGGTGGATCTCTGTGAGTTCAAGGCCAGCCTGGTCTACATAGTGAGTTCCAGGACAGCTGGGGCTACAGGGAAACCCTTCTTCAAAATGACAAAAAAAAAGGTGTGATTGAAGTTATTTATTTTTCTGTTTTTAAGATGGGTAGAAATGAAAAGACTGGAAAATATCAATGTGTCATGTAAAGATAGGAAATAAAGTTGAACGAGACAAGCTGGGTGTGGTGGTGCCTGCCTCTAGTCCCAGCACTTGGAAGTGGAGACATGAGGATCAGGAGCTCAAAGTCATTCTCTGCTACTTAGTGAGTTCAAGGTCAGCTTGTGCTATATGAGACTCTGTTTCAAGAAGAAGAAGAAAAACCCTAACAAACCAACCAACCAAGTAAACAAAGAAACAAATAAAAAACCGAATTAGACAAGGAACAAACAGAATAGGATACTGGGGTAGGTTTAAGATGGGAGTGATAAAAGGGTGGATAATTCCAGTGGGCTTCATATATATGATAAGTCTATTTTCAGATCATCTTTTTCTATTGTTTTCTTTCTAGACTCCTGTTTCAATCTTTACCTTCCATCACTGAATTAATATTTGTATAATAGTAATAAAAATTTCAATGTAATGAACATGTATTTTTGTCTTTTTTATCCCTTAAATAGAGTTGGTTATCTGAAGAAATGGATACTTCTCCATCCAAAAAATATCCAGTTAAAAAACGAGTGAAAATACATCCCAACACAGTGATGGTGAAATATACTTCTCATTATCCCCAACCTGGGGACGATGGCTATGAAGAAATAAATGAAGACTACGGAAATTTTATGGAAGAAAATCCAAAGAAAACTCTGCTGAGTGAAATGAAAAGAAAAGGAAGAACTTTCTTTGGAACTATGGATACTCAGCCTCCACGAAAAGAAGACATCAGAGCCAGTGAGACTGGACAGTTCCAGAGCTTTGCTGGGAAAAATATTTTTCAATCCCAAAAAATGTGGATAGTGCTGTTTGGATCTGCTCTGGCTCATGGATGTGTGGCTCTTATTACTAGGCTTATTTCTGATCGTTCTAAAGTTCCATCTTTAGAGCTCATTTTTATCCGTTCTGTCTTGCAGGTCTTATCTGTGTTAGTTGTGTGTTATTATCAGGAAGCTCCTTTTGGCCCCAGTGGATACAGATTACGACTCTTCTTTTATGGTGTATGCAATGTCATTTCTATCACCTGTGCTTATACCTCATTTTCCATAGTCCCCCCCAGCAATGGGACCACGATGTGGAGAGCCACAACTACAGTTTTCAGTGCCATCTTGGCATTTTTACTTGTAGATGAGAAAATGGCTTATGTTGACATGGCTACAGTTGTTTGCAGCATCATAGGTGTTTGTCTTGTCATGATCCCCAACATTGTTGATGAAGACAATTCTTTGTTAAATGCCTGGAAAGAAGCCTTTGGGTACACTATGACTGTGATGGCTGGATTGACCACTGCTCTTTCTATGATCGTATACAGATCCATCAAGGAGAAGATCAGCATGTGGACTGCACTGTTTACCTTTGGTTGGACTGGAACGATCTGGGGAATATCTACTATGTTTGTTCTTCAAGAACCTATCATCCCTTTAGATGGAGAAACATGGAGCTATCTCATTGCTATATGCATCTGTTCTACTGCAGCATTCTTAGGAGTGTATTATGCCTTAGACAAATTCCATCCAGCTTTGGTCAGCACAATACAACATCTGGAGATTGTGGTCGCTATGATCTTGCAGCTTCTAGTGTTACACATATTTCCTAGTGTCTACGATGTTTTTGGAGGAGTGATCATTATGATTAGCGTATTTGTCCTTGCTGGCTATAAACTTTACTGGAGGAATGTAAGGAGGGAAGATTATCAGGAAATACTGGACTCTCCCATTAAATGAATAACTGGTTGTTATTATTATCTTGTTAATGTCCAATTATAAACATGTACACTGCCATTTTAATATTTACCTGTAGATGTCTTTTGTGTTATATAATTGACAGTTATATAATTCATATACGCAGATGCAGAAACATATTCTAGACTAATATATTAAAATATAAATATTAAATGTGTCATAAACATGTGTCTACAGTTATTAACAAAAAGTAATTGTGGTAGAAGAGTATCAAATTCCATCACTAAATGCACGATTTGAGGAAGTTTCAGAAAAATGTTTATGCTCAGTCTTCTACAAATGTGCAACAATCATCCCTCAATATTAAAAAATATTAATGGGGCTGGAGAGATGGCTCAGTGGTTAAGAGCACTGGCTGTTTTTGCAGAGGATCTAGGTTCAATTCCCAGCACCCATATGGCAGCTAACAACTGTCTCTAACTCCTGTTTCAGGGAAATCCAATGCACTCTTCAGGCCTCTTTGGGCAGGTATTCCCACTAAAGATCTAAGAGGTTGTAAAACTAAGTAAAAGGACTTGAATTGAGATGAGTAAGAGGGATCAAAGAAAGCTGGGTTTTCAATGACAGAGTCCCAAGACTGGAATGGAAAACTGGTCTTCCCATTACTATGGCCACATTAGGCAATTTATAGGAAATGGGTACAGGGAGAATGACTTCTTGCCGGCTTTATGCTTGATGATGGGAAACCTAATATTGGAGCAGGGTCTCCTTATCCTCATTTATGCAGATCTCTTTCACAGCAGCCCTTGTTTATGATTCTGTGCCAAGTATGTGAGTGAACTGCAGCAAAAAGATGTATATTCCTAAAAAAGACACTGACATGGCCATTGCACTCATGAACTCAAAGCATATGTGCAGGTTACCTGCTCAAGACCTGCACAAGATCAGGCCAATCAAAATTCAAACATAAATGGGGCAATGCTCTCCAGGGGCTTTTGGCAGTTGGTACCTGCTAGGGAAGGGAGAATCATTCTTTCTCAAGGGTGTTCTCCCTGGTAGGTTTCCTGTGCTCCAGTAGATGGTCCTACATCCATGCACATATGGGCAGCACTAATTGGACTCAGTGGGTTATCAAAAAATAAAAAAAGACATGAAGTTGGGAGAGGAACATATATAGGGGGAGTTGGAGGAGGGAAATGAGGGGTGGATATGATCATATTCTTGTATATATGTATGAAATTCTCAAGAATAAAGAAAAATTATATTTAAAAAATTTCAAAAATCATGTAGCAGTACTCACAATATAGCAGAAAATTGACATGGTATCCTGAAATTCTCTTCAAAAGTACCTCTCTGTAAAAGCACACAAGATAGCACTAGCATCTAAGTTGGGCCATTATTACTAATTCTGCACAAATGAATGCTGATGTGATACTGATGATTAAGCTACTATCTTTCAGCTACCAATTTGCCCTTCTATACTTTGCTACATGATGCTAAGATTCAGATCCTGCAAATTACATTTTTCTGATGCTACCTGGGTCTTTTATGGGTCTTTATGGATCTCTACCCATAAAGGACATAATAGAGGGGTTGGGATTGGTAGCACAGGCCTGTAATTCCAGCTACTCAGGGGGCTGAGGCAGGAGAACTGCAAGTTTAAGTCTAACCTGAGCAACTTAGTGAGACCTGTTTAAAGAAAGAAAAAAAAAAGTGCATGTATGTGTGTCTGGGAATATAGCTCATTGGCAGAGCACTTACCTAGTATGTGACAGGTTCTATGTTTAATTCTCCAGTATAACAAAAAGAAATGGGACAGGGGAGGACATTAGAGGGAGACTGGAAGGCAGACTGGGACTATAGCTCATTGGCAGAGCACTTACCTAGTATGTGACAGGTTCTATGTTTAATTCTCCAGTATAACAAAAAGAAATGGGACAGGGGAGGACATTAGAGGGAGACTGGAAGGCAGAGAGGGGACCTCTTTCTTTTCCATTTGCTTGTAGCATCTGTCACTGTTTTACCCCAGGAATCAGCAGCAACTGATTTCATCCTTAGGGTACTTTTGGCATTACTCCTCTCCACAACATCATTCCTTCTGAATAGTTGAAGGGCCAACTGGAGAACTTCCTCCCTGAGCTGTGTCATTCTTCTGTGCTTCTGAGACCCTGTAGTCCAAGCTTGATTCCCTCTTTTTAATAGCCCTATGGGTGGCAGCTGATCCACAAAGCTATCACCTCAGCTACCTCAGCGCCCCCACCCTTCTTGGTCTATTTGAGACAGGGTTTCACTACTTGGCCCTGACTGGCCTTTGGACTTGGAATGATCTTCCTGCCTCTGCCTCCAAATGCTGGAATGACAGGCATGGGACACCATGCTTGGCTTCAATGTTTCCTTTTGCTTTTCAGTCCATTAACACACACTACTAAATCTTCTCTATTATGATATCCTGTAGTTTCTGTTTCCCTGACTAAAATGTCTCCAAATCTCCTGCAAACAAATCCATAGCCATTAGTAAGGCTAGGTAGCTAGGTAGCTTTAGGAAAATGTCAACATTTAGATTTTTCAGGGATTCCTAGATATTAGTTGTCAAGAGAAAATATGTAAATTGAGTCAGGCATAGGGGTATAAGCCTGTACTCTTAGCTATTTGGGAGGTTGAAGCAGGAGGTTTCCAAATTTGAGGCCACTCTGGGCAGTTTAGCAAGAGCCTATGTTTGTGGTGATGGTGTTAGAGATCAACCCCAGTGCCCTGAACATCCTAAACAAGATGCACCACCACTCAGCTACTACCCCTTGAGCTGCATAAACTAGTCAAGAGATCTGGATTAAAGTCTTATGAAGGAACTGCTCAAATTATTGACCCCATCAAAATGGAGATTTTCTTACAGAATAAAATCTAAACTTAGGACTATATTTTACTTATTTTGTATCCATATCCTCTGTCCATCACATGTTAACTATGTAACTAGAATTCAATTTGAGGATATTTGAAGGTATGTTTGCTGTGTGATTTTGAAGAACTGTTCTTAATTTCTGGATAATCATTTCTTCAAAAATGAATATAATAGTATCTAAATACATCAGCTTTATATATCAACAAATAAGAAAACTGTTGTATTAAGTTGCCATAACAAAATACCGCAGACTAGTTGGCTTCAAAATAGAAATATATATATTTTTCCCAGAGTTATAGAGGCTGGGTAGTTCAAGGTCAACATGCCAGCAAGGTCTGGAGAAGTCTAGTCTTTCTGTGTACTCACATAGTGGAGAGTGTGAGCACTTACATCATAAAAATTAAAATATAAATTTATGCAAACAAAAAAGCTACTAATCATAAACCATAGATTCTTACTTCTATGACTTCATTTAAGTTTACCTCCTAAAAGTTTGTCTCCAAATACAGTCATATTTGGGGTTCAGCATATGAATTTTACAGGGATACAATTCAGTTTACAGTAGATAAAATACTCAGTTACTCAAAACCCTAAGAATAAATTAAAATTTCATTTGCATCATTGACTCTTTTAAAGGATTTTTTTTGAACAAGGTCTCCCTGTAGCCCCAGCTGGCCTGGAACTTCCTATGGAGACCAGGCTGGCCTCAAATCTCAGAGAGATCTGCCTGTCTCCATCTCATGGGTGTTGGGAGTAAAGATGTGGGCCACCACGTCCGGTTACAGTATTGACTTCTGATGCTAACAATGCAAGGTAGACAGGGTAGCTCTTGCCCAGTTTTATGTTGTACTTTTCTCAACTGAAGGGCCGTAGGTAATTTGTGCTTTACCTTATGATCTACCTACAGCAAGCCAACCCCATGTATCCATTAACACGAAACCCACAAATTTTGAAGTGAAATGCAGAAAACTGAATTTTCAGGTCTTACAGTTAGGGTCAGTATTAAAGTGAAAGGAAGATACATTTAAATATTTTATACTTTTATTTTATATGTGTGCGTGTATTGCCTGCATGTATGTAAGTACACCTGTGTTTTGCAATGCCTACGGAGGTCAGTAGAGAGCGACGGACCTCCTGGAACTGGAGATAGGGACAGTTGTTAGCCGCTATGTGGGTGCTGGGAATCGAATCTGGGTCCTCTGCAAGAGGCACCAGTGCTCTTAACCGCCGAACCATCTCTCCAGCCCATAAGCGACACACAGTAATATGCCTTAAGGTATGCTAGGCATTGGGCGGAAAGCGAACACAGCTCCTGATTTAATAGACTTTGCAATCTATGTGCGTGGATGCAACTACGATGGAGACAAAATATCAGTGTCTCAAGAAAGTTACCTAAGCCACACTTTCACTAAACAACAAAGGTGATTAGGAAGTAGTGATGCAAGTGATGCAAGTCTTGGGTGGTTGCAATCGGAGCGAGGGGAGATTCAGTTTACAGATGCCCCAGCAGGTGGCTGGCGCTGCACCCGCTGAGAATACACAAATCAAACTGCAAAGGTAACTGTCTTTTTAACAACGGGGCTAGAAGTGTAAGCTGCCCACGCGCCAGTGCACTTCCAAGGCCCTCAGACAGCTTATTTTGGTTGTGGTTCCAATTAACATACGTCTTACATTTTTCTCCCAGGCCTGTTTGATTAGACGCTCCCAGTCCCTACCAATCTGCAGCTGCATGGATGCTTCGGATACAGAAGCCATGGCACTTTAGGCTGAACTCGGGTCACAGTCACGGTTCTCAGCAAGGCTGAAGCAGTTCAAAGTCGGCAGCAGCCCTGGAGGAAGTAGCAGAGAAAGTGGCTACCAGGGCCCGGGCTCCTCACCCGATCCCGTACCGCCGCCGCGCAGTCTCAGCTCACTGCACAACCTCCGCCGCGCTTGATTGACAGGCGGGGTCGGCCAATCCCGGCACGGCCCAGACCGCTGTAGCGTCGGGGGCGGGCTCCGTGGGCGACTGAGCCTATCAGATTGTGCGAGGAGCGGGTTTCCTGCCCGCACAGGCCCGCCCTCCGGCCGCGTGCCCCGCCCCTCTCCTGAGAGCTACGCGGCTGTACAGCGGAGGCCTCGCGTGGTAACCGCCATCTGGGTAGCCGCGGTGGCGTCCCGGTGCCCTCCTCGGGTGACTGGAGCCGCGAGTTCGGCGGAGGGAAGGTGAGACGGCCTTGCCGGCTGACGGACAGTGGTCCAGCCCTTTGGTCTCCCGGGCCGTCCGCACGCCTTGTTAGTCCCGCGGCGCTTCCTCTTCCCCGCGAAGTTAGCCCGGGGGCGCCGTCTGCTGGCGGGCGTGGAGCGGAGGGGGCGGGGAGGCAGCTCGGGGGAGCCCGGGCGTGTGCTGCTGCCCGAACCCGCGGCCTCCCTCCTCGCTGTCCGCGGTGCCAGGGGAGGCGGGGGGCCGGGCGTGCGGCGTGCTGCCTCGGCGCGCTTCTGCTCGGAGGGAACGGCTGCTGGTGTGGCTTTCCCCGAGGCCGGGAAGGTAGGGACGCAGGAAGTAAAGGGCACTGTCTCCTCCAGCCGCTGCGGGAGGAAGCGGTCGAGGGTGGACACCCCCGGGACGCGCCACCCCCTCTCCGGCGTCCTCAGCTGGGGAGATAGGGGTGGGCCCGGAGGCGTAGGGCCACTTAGGACATTTTTCTGGCTTGGTTTTTGTCCTTCGTGTTTCCGCGCAAGTTAGGCTCGGGGAAAAGCTGGGTTTTGTTCAGGGCTGAGCACCGTCATATTGTCCAGTTAAGGTTGAACTGAGTTGAAGTCACCCAAAGAACGTCCTGCACGTTATTTTAGGTAAGACTCTTTAGGAGGTAGGAAAAAAAGTGAAAACTTTCTAACCGCATCTTGGGTGGGAAAAGTGAGACTCTGTCCAGCCCAGGTGGCTGAAGTTCGACAAGAAGGACTCATTTTGAAAACCTTAACATTGATGGATTTATGACCTACCATAAGGATTTCTTAAGCACCTGGAAATCAGTTGTGTTTGAACTTTCAGCCTTTAGTGAAGTCAAAAAGTGGAGAAATAATCCAAGAAGAAAGTTTTGAGTGATCGTTTTCAGTAACTTAAAAAATATTTTATTTTTATTTTATATGTATAAGTATTGTCTGCATGTATGTAAGTGCACCCATGTTGTGCATGCCTGAAGAGGCCAGAAGAGGGCGTTGGATCCCCTGGAACTGGAGTTATGGACGGTTGTTAGCTGCCACGTGGGTGCTAGGACTCCAACAGGGGTCCTCTGCAAGAGCAGCCAGTGCTCTTAAACGGTGATCCATCTCTCCAGCTCCTCAGTAACTTTTAATAGGTATTCCATCCATATCTTGATAGATCAAGAAACATACATTGATTGAGGAGTAACAGACTGCTTGCTTCTGGAAAATTGTGATTTGTTAGGAATTGACTAATTCAGTCAAAAACAGTTTACATAGTCTTCAGATCTGCTCAGCAGATATTAAATTTTAAAATATTTGCCTTTTTTTCCCTTAAGCATTTTTTTGTAGAGTTTTCCCTAGTGCTTTCAACTCCACTTACTAAAACTTGACACTGATCTGTAATGGTTTGTCAAACTTTGAGCGGTATTTTATGCTGCTGGTTTTCTTATCTCAGAGGACTTTCTTCCAGAGTACAAGATTTGATGTGATTATTGTTGTAAATAAATCCTTGTCAGGATAATGAAAAAAATGAATAAACTTACTTTGACATATGGACAAAATACACGATGCTCTGTACGCAAGAAAATTAAATGATTATTTAATTGATAGGTAAAATTGAAGGAACTGTTAAAATTGCAGAATGTGCCGGGCGTGGTGGCACGCCTTTAATCCCAGCACTCGGGAGGCGGAAGCAGGCGGATCTCTGAGTTCAAGACCAGTCTGGTCTACATAGTAAGTTCCAGGACAGCTGGGGCTACAGGGAGACCCTGTCTCAAAAAAAAAAAAAAAAGCTGAACGTTGAATAAATAGATCATTTGAAAGACCTGGGTGATCCTCATTTTAACCCATATGGGAAATAGAATTTACAGGTCTTCCCTTCAGAACCGTTCCCTATGTTGTCTTTTTTGGTGATATTATACTTTCAGTTACCCAGATACAAATCTTGACATTGGCTTATACTTGAAGTCATACTCGAAAAAAATTTTTTCCTTTCAGATATTTCTTCCCCTGTATTCTTACATTGTTTTCAGTTTTATATCTGAACTGCTCAGTATCTTTAATTGGGTTTTCTGCCTGGTTATTCTCAATGTGTTTTGCCTGTGCTGGTCTTAAAATAAAATGAATACATCTTTCACCTTTTAGAAGCTGGTATTATCTTGTCTACAGAGTTTAGCTCTGAATTCATGGCCTGTTAACATTCTGCTCAAAACCTACTTTTCTAATCCCATCGTTGTTTCTAGGAACCGTGTACTCTAACCAAACCAGTCCTTCTCATTTACATTTGTATTTTTCTACTTTTTAAACCATATGTATTGAAACTGAATGTCTATGCATAGGCTGCCTTCCCTGTAAATTACCAAAGTAACAAAGTAAAATTAGTTGGAAGTTTCTCCTTTTTTTTTTTTTTTTTTTTTTTTTTTTTTTTTTTGGTCTTTTTGAGACAGGTCTCCCTGTAGCCCTAGCTGTTCTGGAACTCAGCTATGTAGACCAGGCTGGCCTTGAGCTCACATAGATCTGCCTGTCTCTGCCTCCCAAGTGCTGGGTTTAAAGGCGTGCACCACCACACCTGGCTCCTTTTTCCTTTTTATTCCCTCCTGCCCTCCCTCCCATTGTCTCTTAGTGCTGGAGATCAAACCCAGGGCTTCTTATGTACCACAGAAGTACATCTTTAGTCCATAGTTTTACTTTGAAAAAAAATATTTTTATTTATATTTGTGCATGAGTGTGTGTAGATGCACATGTGGAGTGGTGCATAAGTAGGTCAGAGGAAATATTGGGGGGAGTCAGTTCTCTCCATGTACCATGTGGGTCCTGGGGATTGAACTCAGGACTTAAATCGTCAGACTTGGCAGGAGGTACCTTCACCTGCTGAGCTGTCTCACCTGACCAGAGTTTTATTTTTGTTCCGTCTGTAAAGCCTGCCATTTAAAAAAATACTTTATTTTTATTTTATGTGTTTGAGTGTATCGCCTGAATGTAGGTAGGTACACCCATGTTGTGCAGTGCCTGTAGAGGTCAGAAGAGGGTGTTGGGTCCCCTGGAACTAGAGTTGTGGATGGTTCTTAACGGACATGTGGGTGCTGGGAATCGAACCCAGGTCCTCTGCAAGAGCACCCAGTGCTCTTAACCACTGAACCATTTCTCATTTCTCCAGCCCTGCCAGAAATTTCTGTTCCCCTTGTTGCTCCTCTTTGAACCACGTCTTTTTTTTTTTTTAAATATGTTCTTCCCCTTGTTTTTAAATTGGCCTTCAGAGAAATGAGTTTTATTACGGTATTTGTATACATATTTATTACTGTGCTGTTTTCTTTAAAAAAAAAAAAGTGGGTATATGAGTGTATTGTCCGCATGTAAGTGCACCCATGTTGTGCAGTGCCCATGGAGGCCAGAGGAGGGTGTCAGATCCCCTGGAACTGGAGTAATGGATAGTTGTTAGTCAATATGGGGGTGCTGGGAACCAAACCTGGGTCCTCTGCAAGAGCAGCCAGTGCTCTAAACTTCTGAGTCATCTCTCCAGTCCCCTGTGCTTTTGTTTTCATTCATCCCCGTCTCTCATAGCCTTCTCTCATGTCCTTGCTTTTTAATTTTATATGGACTTGTGTCCTTATACTATAGAACATTATTGTTGAAGTGTTGGAATCCATTATTTTGTTCTTTATATAGGGAAAGTGAAAGACATACAAAATAACCACTAAAATTGTCACACATCTTGTTATTGGGGCATAGCTGAGACTCAAGCCTGATTTCCTTATTCAAATTTTGTGTATTCTTTATAAAACCACACTGTTACTTCTCTTATAGTATCACCTTATATTTGTTTCACATTATTTTGTGGCTTATGTACTCCTCATATAGATTCAAAACTACTTGAGGGCAGGGAAACCTTCATGGTCTTGCAAATTAAACAATCTTAAAATTTTAATTTATTTATTTATTCATTCATTCATTATTTATTTATTTATTTATTTATTTATTTATTTAATGAGAATGTCTCCAAGAATTTGGCCAGTTTGTCTCTAGTTG